CTGGGGTTCACTTGGCTGCTGACATCATCCCAGCCGACGTTTCAGACATCTGACTTGCAGAGGTAGGGTTTGCACGTTGTTGCCTGCGAAGGCCGAATACGCAGCTCCCTGCAATTGTGGATAAGAGTGATGGGGCGAGCGCGGTGTGGGTCGCAGGTGGGTCGCGTGGTGGAGCACGAGGTGGGTCGCGGGGGGGTCTCGGGGTGGACGGCGACACTAACAACAAGACATGCAGAATCTGGGCCACGTAATCGTAGCAGTTGTTGTGCTTGTTGTTTCGCCGAACGGCGCGGGCCCCCGCCCCCTCCCCTCCCCCTCCCCATAGACCAGATCCTGGCTGCTTTTGGTGCCTGCCTTTGGCGACCGGTCGGGACCGCCACCTCTTTGTCCGCTTGCACCAGCAGCAGCAGATCGACCAATCACTGGCCCAGGCCCAGATCCCCCCCCACCCCCCCCACCCCCCACGCCGCCCTGGGCCAGAGGTCGAAATCCAGAATACGGGCGCGCCTGCGTCCCACTTCAACCGCGCACACAGGGATGGTGTAAGACCGTTCGACCCCCTCATCCCGACGGCATTTCTTTCAAGGCGCGAGGATCAGACGCCGGGCGAAGGCTGGCAAACCCGTGGCTGCTAAAACAGAATTCCGGGAAAATGTTGTTATCTTCCTGGGAGCAGCCCGTCTACTATTTAGTGCGCTGAGCTTGATTCCTGGAACTTGTTTTTTTTTCTTCCGGGAGGCCCGCTTTAGCAGCCACGGATTTGTCAGCCCCCGCCCAGCTTCCAAGAGGATGCCATGGCATGGAGGCACGCCGTGTCGTCATCGGGGGAGGCACGGGACACTGCGTGGTCCCTGCCAGCGGCGCCCCGCGCCTCGCGCCAGCGCCGAGGCGAGGCCCATTTTGCCACGCGCGCGTCCAGTGTTAAGTCGGGCGTGTCCCTCTACAGGAGGAGTATTCCTCAATAGTCAGAAAATAATATGGGGACGATGTTTCTATCATGTTTTGATTTCTTGTGCGTATGTTTTGCATATTTGTGATTTTTCATCCAACCTGAGCCAGGGACACGCCCGACCTAAGTCCAGTGCCTCCCTCCCTCCCATCCCCTCTCCTTCGAGGAACGAGACAAGAAGAGCATCGGGCGTTGAACGGAGAGCGTTTTATCTTCCGGCGAGAACGGCCGTTCCCGTTGAGGGGGGAGAGTGATGCGAGGGGGCTGGTAGCGTCGCGATTCCGCAAGCGCTGGCTGGGAAGTAGCTACCCCTAGCAATTCCCGAACGGTGCCGGCGCAACTCGTGACGTTACCAGCTTGGGAGGATAGAGGGGAGGAGCATCCTCAGTAGCGGGCGTTGTCGCGACTCATAGAAAACGCGTTCTAGAACGTTCACCTGGACACGCTGATAGAAGAATTCCGCACCAGTGATTCGGCATTGGCATTCGCAGTGTGCCCGTGTAGTGCCCCGTCGGATTCGCAAATCGACGTGGGTTTTGCCATGTGCACTCGGTAGCCTTTGGACGTTTTCAAAATTGGGGAAATTAGATTTTACATTGATATATTCTATATAAAGAGGATAGGCGCGAGGACCTGGGGGTACAGTAGTGGGAGCTTCGAACAGCACGCCATCCCTGCCAGCGGGCGCCCCACGCAGGTTTGTGACTCCCGGTGGCCCTCGGGGCCGGCAGGAGCCTTGGGGGGAAAGCCCAGAGATCGACGACGAGCGCGACCAATCTGCTCTTGCAGCCAGAGACCTCGTCACGCTTACGCTGGGGGCGTTCGTTCAGGAGTGTGCACAGGAGGCGGCAGACCCCGGAGGGTTCCTTCCTTGATGAGGGCGGCGGTGCTATTCACGGCCGACCCACGAGTGGAGCTCCACCGGCTTCCAGGCCCTGGATTATTTAGCCAATGCTCTGATGTTCCGACCTACTTCGGCCTTGACCGCCAGAAAGAAGATCGAGCACCTGGAAAGTACCGAAGCGTGAGGGTTTTCACGTGCCCGGCCCTGGGGGGCGATTCTCGCTCGCGATTGTTTCGATACTTTTGCTGTGTTTGATTTTGGGGGAGGGATGTGGTCCTTAAATCGCGGGTGAACAACGGTATACGATATTTTTTTCCGTCGCCGGGGGCGCTGCCCCAGGGTGGTTGGAACATTTATACCTTGACGTGCCACCGTAAAGGCATGACCTTTCCAGCCGCACTGGGACAGGCGCCCCCGACAGCGAGACAGTTTATTTTGTACCGTTCTTCGCCCGTTAACTTGAGCACAACGGGAGCAACATACATCCAACGCTCGCAGGCCGACAGGTTGACACCAACACCAATATCGGCGGTGTGCCTCCACGGAGGGCAGAAGATCCCGATCTCGGTGATGGTGGTAGAATTCTGGCCTCCAAGGCGACGGAAATAGTACCACCGACGCCGAAATCCAGGATCGCCTTCCCCCCTGAGGAGGCACCCCCCTGTGCTGGTGCTGGCGCCCACTGCCAGGCCTCCAAAAGGCGCCCCTCCCCGCTGCCCTCGCCGCAGCTGCCCTGCCGTGCGTCCGCGGGAGCCCCACAGGAGTGCGACCTGCCGGGCGCGGGCCGGCACCTGGCCCACACGCAGGTGCTGGCCTCCTCCTCCTCCTTCTCCTCCTCCTCCTCCTCCTCCTACTAATCCCCCTTCACCTCCCTCTCCTCCTCCTCCTCCTCCTCCTCCTCCTCCTCCTCCTCCTCCTCCACCTCCTCCTCGTGCGCGAGAGGGGGAGCTGATGGGCCTGTTTTCCACCACCACCACCAGAAGTTGGAGGGGGAAAGGGGATGAGGAGGAGGAGGACGAGGAGGAGAAGGTGGAGGAGGCGGACCCCCTTCCCCCTCCAACTTAAGGCGGTGGTGGTGGTAGAAAACAGGCCCATCAGGAGCGGCCTGCCGAGAAGGTTCTGTATGTAATCGTCTGCAACTCTGGTTCCTGTTGCTTCGGAGGTTGATCGACCTCCTGCCCTGACACGTCGATGAGCGAATTGGCCGTTTTCGGCGTCGCGAGAGGGCCGCCGTTTTTGTGGGTCCAGCTCCGTCGGTTTCGGTCCGAGGCCGTTCTCATGAAAGGGTGGTCTACTTAGGAGAGGTTTGTCCACCGCCGATGAGTCACGTTTGAGCTCACCATGTTCCATGCCACCCTATGCCTTCGCCTGCTCGTCCTTCGGCGCCATCCTGCCGCGGATGGCTTCGAGGCCTTTAAGTGGGGCGGCTGAAGGCGTGTATGTGTGAGAGAGTGTGTGCGGGGCTAGTCGTCGGATTCGGGCGAATGGGTCCTTTGCAGCGGGGCCTCAAACATGTGTGCAGTACTTCGTGCAATCGTCCTCGAAGAAGGAGAGACTGCACGGATTTCTTGGACCCACGCTGGGCTACCCTGTCGGCGCCTCCGGCGCAGCCCCTGGCGCGCTCCTGGCGCGGATCCAAGAGATCCGTGCGGACCTCCAACAGTATATGCTTATGCATTTTCTGTGCTCTTCTATTACACAGGGACCCCAAACATGTGCGCAGTAGTTTGTGCAATCGTTCGTACAGGATACGCACGTCGTGCAGTACCTCGAAGAAAAGAAGCATCGGCACAAACAACACTTTCGGAGATCACCGCGGATTTCTTGGATCCGCGTTTGGCTCGCCTGGCGGCGCCTCTGGCGCAGCCCCTGGCGTGCTCCGCGCGCCAGGACGGGGGTTTGGCGCGGATCCGAACATCCCGCGCGGACCTCCAAAAGTTTGAGTTCATGCAGTTGTTTACCCCTCTATTGCAGAGGGGTCTCAAACATGTGCGCAATAGTTCGCACAGTCTTTCGTGCGGGAGCGCGCGTCGTGCAGTATCAGCACGTGGCTGCCATGCGCCAGGCGTCACATGATGAACCATTGCATTTCTTGTTTGCGACCCCCGAAGACCCCCTTTGCCCAGAAGCAGAGGAGGAAGCTCGGCATTGCTCGGGCCGGTGCATCTTCTCGCGGCGATTACCATTGTGGAGCATTCCGGATCAGCTCGTAAAGCAAAAGCACACGCGCGACATCGAGGAATGCACCGGGCATGGGCGTCCGAGCGACAGCAAGGCAGGAAGGCGGTTTCTTGGAAGCCCCCGCGGCTCCCAAGAGGCCTTCTTGGGACCCCCCATGCCCTTCAAAGAGGACCGTGCTTTCCACGAGCCCCCCCCTCCACCTTCTTAGATTATCGTTCTGGGGACCTTTCTCGTCGCCACCTAACGGATCTGTTCGACCCTAGTTCGACTCCAGTTCGATTCAAGCTTGACTCAAGTTCGACTCAGGTTCGATTCAGATCCGACTCAAGGTCGACTCGAATCGACGGACGTTCGACGCAGCTTCGACGCACGAGTGGAGCGAGTGGCTCCAGGAAGGTCCCCAGATTGAGCAGCCAACCTTCCCAGAATCAGGCGGGGGAAAAACACAGACACAAATCGCCGACCTCCAGGAACATTTGAACAAATTTGGGCAGCGGTGGCGGAGACGAGCACCGAGACGGTAGTATAAAGGTTCGGGAGTCTTGGGATCTGCGTATATTTATCATCTGTGTGTTTCCATGGGCCCCTTTCCAAGGATCGGCGGCGAGCCTGGGAAGGGGGAAAGTGAAACGGGGCGGGCCTCCTCAGACGGCTCGGAAGTCGCCTGACCTGAGACGTTTTCGCAGCCTTCCCCGCAGACGCGGACAACCCGTCAGAAGACCGGAGTTCTTCCGAGCAGCCCCGCCGCCTCCCGAGGAGACATCCTCCTTCTCACCTCCCCCCCCCCTTGACTCGCCGCGCCGCCGCGGGGCAGGTCCCGCACCTTCCGAGAGCCCCGCGCCCTGCCCTCCAGGAGAGGCCGCTCTCGCCGAGGCGGGAATCTATGCATAACCACGGGGGAGATCGATCTTCGGGGACCTCGGCAGGCGGTGGACATGGACACACTCGGCACCCCTCTGGCCAGAAGGTGCATCCACCGCCACACCTCCCGCTGGGGGTCCCAGGACGTGGCTTCCCCGGGCGGTGGATGTCCAATCGCCCCGCCCCGCCGCCGCAACAAGGAGCACCCCGCGCCGCCCACGGGCCCGCCCCCCCCGCCATCCCCCCGCCCCGCCCCGCGCTCGCCCGGAGAGAGGCCGCCCTCCTCGCGCCGCCGCCCCGTCGGGCGGGCGGTGATGGGGGGGTGGCCCGCGTGGGGGGTGCAGGCAAAGGGCCCTCGGCGGGGCCCCTCCAGGGCCCCTTTCGGGGCCCCCGCCGGCTCCAGAAAGGGGGCCCTGACAGGAGCCCCTCTGGGCTCCTTCGCTTCGCCCCCCATGTGGGCAAACCCCCCACTGCAGGCGACCCGCATGAGGAGGATGGGCGCAAGCTTCCCCAGGGTACCCTTGCATCCTTGCCTCCTCCGTCCATCCTTGGCCGCTTCCGTTGGCCGCGCCCCGCTCGCAGAGTGCGAACATGGCATTCCAAGGCCTTCGCTCATGATGTTCCTACCTACTTTCACCTGGATCACCAGGAAGAATCTCGAGCACCAAAAAGCACGAAAATCGAGGGTTTCCACGTGTCGGACCCTGGAAGACACTCGTCCGACACTGTTTCGACACTGTTTCGACACGTTTCCGGGTGCTCGAATTTTTTTCTGGGATGTGGTCCTTGAGAACGCTGGGAGCAACATAAGCCCTTGCGTCCTTCTCGTGCACCCTTCTGATGCGGGCTGACTCTGCCACCCGCCCCACCCCTCCACGCGAGACTTCCTCTCGCGTGGGACTTCCTCGCAATTTATTCAGACGATGCGCCCTCGGCGCTCAGGAATCACGCTCTCCCTTTATGCCTTGTCTCACGATTTACTTGGAAATCGCGCTATCGCTCGAGACTTCCTCGCCATTCATGCAGGACCCGCGCTTCAGCCTGCCTGCTCGACCTGGTCGCCTGGGACCGCGTGGCGCGCCCGCCGCAGGTGAGCGCGGGCTTCGGCCACACCGTGCTGGTGCGGAGCGACGGCACGGCCCTCGCCTGCGGCAGCAACGACTCCGGGCAGTGCCAGTTCCCCTCCGCGCCGGTGGGCCCCAGGAGGAACAAGAGGCAGCCATCGATGGGCCTGTTTTCCATCACCACCACCACAAGTTGGAGGGGGAGGGGGTCCTCCTCCACCTCCTCCTCCTCTCCGTCCTCCTCCTCCTCCTCGTCCCCCTTCCCCCCTCCAACTTATGGTGGTGGTAGTGGAAAACAAGCCCATCAGCCATGCCTCACGTTGCATCTTCGGGGGACCTCGCCTGTCCCCAAGATTGGTGCCTTTACCTGTGCCCGGCGCGGGCTCGATGCGGCCTCGACGCGGATTTGGCGTGGCTTGGACACGGGTGCGACGAGTCCGGCACGGATTTGACACGGATTCGACGCAGATCGGACCGCGACCGACAGAAAGCGTCCTCCGAGGATGCAACATAACATACCATTACACGCCGGTCGTTGAAATTAGGTATTTCTGGATTGCCAGATCCCACTTTCTTTCAGGCGCCTGAAACTTCACGAATCGATCTGCTTTTGCTGTGTTTTGTTATTCTCTGGGAGGGCCTGAAGCCAATCTACTTTATCCGCCTTGATACTTCATGTTTTTACCTACTTCTTCTGACCGACGTGTACCGCTACCCTTCCCCCGTTTCCCCTTTGTTGGCCTCTTGGGAGATTCTTGTCGCCCCTGCTAGATTCGCTTCGAAATTCTGGTCCAAACGCACCCGGGATGAGGTTCAGGGAGTAGCGGTATCGGTACTTTTGGGTTCCACAGGTGGCTTTCCAGACGTGGACAGAGTGGGCGCTCAGGGGCCACGATAGGAAGGGGAAAGGCACAGGATGGGGTGCATCGACCTCCAATCGCTCATGGATCGCCGATGGGGTGAGCATGCTACGCATGGAATAAATTCAATGGAAATAAATTGCAGTGGATCCGTGAGTGGATCAATCTAAACTGATGAGGCTATGATGCCTCTTTTGATTTTGAGCGGGCTATGATGCCCGCTCGTGCCCACCCCGTCCCGTCTTCTTCAGGGACTTCGCATCCTCCTTTGATGGTAAGATGGGAAGACGGGCCGCCGCCCCTGGCACTGCACGTACGGTGCCAGGTTTGTGGGGATTTGGTTCGACCCCCGCAGTTCCGATGATGGAAACTGCGAGGGGTGTGAGGCCTCATGGTGGTCCTCACTGGTAAGGCCTATGATGGTCCTCACCAGGGGGGGAGAGGGCTAGGGCGGACCAGGAGGAGGAGGTGGAGAAGGAGGAGGAGGAGGACGACGACGAGAAAGTTGAGTTCAATGATCAGATTGAGCGCGAAGGCCTATGATGGTCCTTCTTCCCAAAACGAGCCTTGCTATCAGCCCCACACCGCCCAGGAAGATGCGGATTCGCTATCGGGTGCCTATCGCCGATCTATCGGCGATGTATCGCCGATTCCTGGTCAATGTCTTCCCCCCTATGCCAGTTCCCCCCCTTTCGTTGCCCCTCAGGCGCGCTCGAAGGGCTCGAAGCCCATCAGCCTGCGGTGCTCTGACGCACTTGCCCCGCCCACTGGTCTATATCGCATCCTTCTCCTGCTGCTCCTTTCCCTTCTCCTGGACTCCTCTTCCTCCTTGGCTGCTGCACCTCCGCCTGGACACCTTCTCGACACCACCTCCTCCTCATGGGCTCTTTCTTTTCCTCCTCCTCCTAGGCTCCTCGAGATCACCACCTTCTTCTGCTGGACTCGTCCTCCTGATCCACCCCTTTCCCCCCAACAGAGCTTGCATATAGGGATTCTTACTTGCGCTTCTAATGTGTGGATGGGTGTCCAGAGGATTCGCCGCGTTCCGCCTGTTGCAGCCTGTGGGGGTGTCCAGGGATGCGCCACGTTCCGACCCTTTGCCACCAGTTGACGGCCGTTGCCGCTTGTGGGGGTATCCCGAGGATTTGTCATGCTATGGCTAGATGCCACCCGTTGCCGCCTCGTTGCCGCTTGGGGTCCACCGAGGATTCGTTGCGTTGCCGCCCGTTGGCGCCGCGCTGCCGCAGCACCACATAGCTTACACCACATAACATGCATCACACAGCTTTCACCACGTATCTTGCACCACGTGGGTATCAGCACATAGCTTACACCACATAGCTTGCACCAACTATCTTTCATCACGCAGTTTGCACCACATCGCCCAAACAACGTAACTTACACGTAGCTGGCACATCATACCTTACACCACACAGCTTGCACATCCACATCCTGTCAACTTCATGTTTTCCACGCTGGATGGCATTCCTTATCCACATGTATATGTTTAATGCTTTAAGCATTAATCTGTGTATGTATGTACCAATCGGTAACCATGCATATCGCCTGGGAAAACCTCCCTGTGTATGGTGTATGGCACCGAGTCTGACAATTATAACAACACACGCGTTCAAGAAAGCAACAATCAATGCACGCAGGGAGGGCGTTGGGTTTTCTAAATGTGGGTCTCGCCGCCACGCCACGTACACTCGTCCGAGCAGGTGACGGAAAGAGCGAGGTACGAGCGAGTGACGTTGAGTAGGGGGCGAAGCCCTTCTTAGGGGGGGTCCAGGGGGGGTGCGAGGCCCAGACGGATGGTCTAATAGCCCGTGTCCCTCGTATTTTTTCGAGTGAAGCGGCTCCCGGGCGGGTCCCATGGCCCGTTTCTTGCCCAGACGGGCCCAAGACGGCCCATAGCCCCAAATATCGTCCCAAGACGGCCCCGGAGGCGCCCCAAACGGGCCCATAGCGGTCCAAGAGTGCCCCCAGATGGGCCCAAGGAGGCCCCAAAGATCATCCCAAGACGGCCCCAGAGGCGCCCCAAAGGGGCCCCAAACGGCCCAAGATGGCCCCCAGATGGTCCGTAGCCATTTTGGCTCAAGTCATTTTGGCTCAAGCCATTTTTGTTCAAGCCATTTTCCTTCGCACCGCGAGGCATCGTGTGCCAGAGCTTCACCCCAGCCGCAGGTCCATGGGTCCTGCTGCGAAGATCGTCGCAGTCGCCGCGGTGGCCGCGGTGGCCGATGCGGCGTTGTGGATCATTGGCGAGCAGGGCGCAACTTGCACGCAGACTTGTGAGGCCAAGTCGGGGACTTGCGTCGATGTTGATTGGGAATCCGAGCCACAGACCCAGGAGGACGTGTACAAGCTGCTCTGCCTTGATTGTAGCGCCCTTGCAGTCGACGTCAACCAGAAGAAAGCGGCTGAAGAGCAGGTCTGGCAGTACGCCCCAGCTCACATGGCCAACGATCCAACAATTTGCAAACACACCGGCTACGACAGCCTCTGCGACGAGGTTCCTGACCCTCGCATGGCACGCCAATGCAAGTGTGATGGCGTCGCCGGCACTCAGCCTCCCTGCCCCGGGGAGGCCGCGGCGAAGGCCCCGGCGGGAGGCGAGGCGTGCGAGCACAAGAGCGACGGTTGCGAGATCGATTGCCAGGTGGACGGGTCCCCACTGGAGTGCGACGGCACATCGTGCTGCGAGCTCTTCCAGGAGGCCCTCGCGGAGCTTCACGGGGACGGCGGCAGCTCGGACCCCAGCGCGGAGGTCGGCTGCGGCATGGTCCTGGAGGTCGTGCAGCAGCGGTGCGAGTCCTGCTCGGCGTGCAGGGCCGGGGCGGCGGAGGGCGGGGCGAGGGTGCTGACGGACGGGGCCTTGGCTGGGCGGAGGCCTTCGGGCGCCGCGGCGGCGGCCGCCCTCGCGGCGCTCGGGGCGGCCGCGGTGCTCGGAGGGGCCGCGGCGGCGCTCGGGCGCGGGGGCGCGGCCCGGGCGCGGGCCGCCGCCCGCGAGGCAGGGCCCCAGGCCACGCTTGAGGAGAACGCCCCGATCAACTCCGCAGGATGCGGACCCTCCTTTGCAGACTGAGCCCAAGCGGCCCAGCTTCCCTGACGAACTGGCGAGACGCTCTCGACTCTGAGAGCCAGCCTGGGCGCCCGGACCCTTGCTTGATCCATCTCTCTCTCTCTCTCTTTCTCGCTCTCTCCCTCTTTTGCACATCTCTCCCTCGATTTTGACTCACAGTAGCGCGGTGAGGGCTAATTACTTGATCGCGAATGACGTGGAATCTCAATAGAGCTAGCTCGGAGCCAATGCAGGGTGTACACCCGTCGCCTGAACAGCCTATGAGTCTCATTTGTGTTCCGGTCATTCACGTGTGGGGAGTCCCCATACGCCAAAGACTGCGCGTTTCTTGAGCACCTCTAGAGAAGTACCAACGTGTCTGCAGATTCATTATGCTCCGCGTCTGTTAGAATAATATATCGCACTGCTCGCGCGTGTTTGCAGCAGTGGTGGCAGGCTCCCAGAACCGTCATCTGCAAATCTGGCAGCCTGACCAAATCACAAAAAAAAGATGGCCCCCAGATGGCCCCAATACGGCCAAGAAGGCCCCGAGGGCCCTAAGAGAGCCCAAAAGGGCCCCAATAGGATTCCCAGCGCGCCCGAAGAGGAGGAGGGGGAGGGGGAGGAGGAGGAGGAGGAGGAGGAGGAGGAGGAGGAGGAGGAGGAGGAGGAGGAGGAGGGAGGAGGAGGAAGACGAGGAGGAGGACGAGGAGGAAGACGAGGAGGGAGGAGGAGGAGGAGGAGGAGGAGGAGGAGGGAGAAGGGAGGGTAGCAGGAGGAGAGGAGGAGGAAGAAGAGGTAGGAGGAGGAGGAGGAGAAGTAGGAGGAGGAGGAGGAGGAGGTGGAGGAGGAGGAGGAGGAACGAGGACGAGGCCAAGGAGGAGGAGGGAGGTAGGAAGGAGGAGGGAGAAGAGGAGGAGGAGGAGGAGGAGGGGAGGAGGAGGAGGAGGGAAAGGAGGAGAGGAGGAGGAGGAGGAGGAGGAGGAGGAGGAGGAGGCGGAGGAGAAGGAGAAGGAGGAGGAGGAGGAGGCGGAGGCAGAGGCGGAGGCGGAGACGGAGGCGGAGGCGGAGGCGGAGAAGGAGGAGGAGGCGGAGGAGGAGACGGGGAGGGGAAAGAGGAGGAGGAGGAGGAGGAGGAGGAGGAGGACCAGGAGGAGGAGGAGGAGGAGGAGCGAGGGGTGACGTAACAAGCTCTCAACGCCAAGCCTCCCAGTACGAACGGTGGTGTGAGTAACTTCGGTTAATGTGTTTGAGGCGCTCTTTCCGTTTCCGTGCCGGCCCAGGTCTAGTAGTTACACGGCCAGAGAGCTGTTCTTTTTCAATGAGGCTCTTGCGGACATGCCGCACACATTTGTCGTATCAGCGTCCGGCAGGTGCACGGATGGAGAGCAGTTATTTTTCTACAATGCGGTTCTCGCATTGGCGCCCCGCACATTCGGCTTAACAGCCATCATCAGTTACACGGATGGAGGTCGGGGTGCTTGTCAAGTTGCTGTTTTCGTGCAGGCGCCGCGCAGGCGCGTGTTTCAGCAGCTCCCAGCAGTTACATTGACGGAGGGGTGTTGTTCTTCAAGGTGGCCCCCCGCGCATTCGTGCCGCGCAGATCCGTCTTTGAACGTCTCCAGCACACACACACACGGATGGAGGTGTGGGCGGGAGGGTGGTGATGAGCCTGTTTTCCACCACCACCACCATAAGTTAGAGGGGAGAAGGCGGAGGAGGAGGAGGAGGAGGAGGAGGAGGAGGAGGAGGAGGAGGAGGAGGGGGAGGAGGAGGAGGAGGAGGAGGAAGAGGAAGGGAGGAGAGGAGGAGGAGGAGGAGGAGGAGGAGGAGGAGGAGGAGGAGGAGGAGGACCCCCCCTCCAACTTACGGTGGTGGTGGTTGTGGAAAACACGCCCATCAGGTGGGGTGGGGCGGGGGGATTCAACCGTGGGGCTCGCACCCTGGCGCCGCGCACGCAGTCTTGAACCACTGCCAGGAGTCGCACGGATGTGGGGCGGCTGTTCTTCGGCACGCCAGTTTTCGGGGTGCGGCCTGCGCAGCCCGTGGGAGCAGGCACCTCAAGCTGTGCCACAGCCGCGCGGAGGGAGGGCGGCTGCGAGTCGAATCGGGGGGGTCTCGCCCGAGAGCCCCCTTCTGGGGCTCTGTGACCACTGGGGGAGCACTGCACACTGCACGGTGCCCCCCGCTTCTCACAACCAAAGCAGGGGCGCGGCAGCTCGTTTTCAGCCAGGGGGGCTCGCGCGAAGTGCAGGACCATGGGTTGGACGTTCGCCAAGGGGGGGGCGCCTCCCGCAGTGAGAGGGAAGTCTCGCAGGGCTTACGACGGGGGGAGTTGTTCGGGCGGGCGGACGTGCTGCAGCATCGTCGGAACGTTGGACGGGTGGAACTATTGCAGCGTCGTTGATGCATCTTTTGGCGGCGCTCGCTGGGGGGTAGGGGGAGGGGTCTTAGAAAACCTTCTTCTTACGATGCGCTGGCCTTATATCTACAGCGAAAACTCGTTCCAAACTTATTGATTTCCCTTAGGTTTCAAACCATTTTGGCGTTATGACCGCTTCTTCGGGCTTCCAACGCTCCCAGACTGATCAAGGGGCGCCCAAGACCGCCCAGAGACGGCCCGAGAGGGGTCCAAGAAAGCCCCAAGACGGCGTTAGAGGCTTAACGGGAGCCCCGA